ACGAGGTAAAAATCTCGTTCACAGTTTCTCACTGTAAATTGCCTGTACAAAAGAAACGCAGAAGAGAGCGGTAGAAACGTACAGGTACCGGAGGATTCGTCTGGTAGGAACATCATCCACGAAAATCTTTCACCCTCGGCCGCTCTTTGTCCGCTCGATCTCCTTTTCCCAAGAATTCTTCTTCTCCCGCGATCCAAGTTCTCCTCTTCTCGCGGAAGATCGCGCCACTTTCTCTTCGCGCTCTCCTCCTCTCTTCGGAATCGAGTCACGTCGAGGTTTCTCGAGCATGGTTTCACGCGCAAAAATCGATCGATCGTCATCGTCCTCGTCGTCGTCGTCGTCGTCGTTGTTATTGTTATTGTTGTTGTTATTGGTGTTGGTGTTGTTGTTATTGTTGTTTGTTGTTGTTGTTGTTACCCGTAAATGATTCGATAAGGGGGATTATTTTGATCCGATCCTGTCGTTGTTGCCAGCTACGCGTATTGTCGGTTCCTCTGTGTGCTCTACCATGCCGAAGACGATTGATCCGGGCAGGATCGTACAACCCCCTCGTAGATAGTCGCGGACGCGGTAACGGGTGCAGAGGTGCGCCTTATTTCGATCGGTTTCGAGCCGGGAATCGGTGGCCGGCCCAAAACCCCTTGGTTGTTTCACGACAAATTTCTCTGATCCTCCGTTGTGTCCTCAGCCTTCTTCAACGACCTTTTCAGCTTGTCCACCAAACGGTTGTGAAACTTGTTCAGGGAGTTGGAGCTGCCGGTTTTCGGTGGGGACGAGCCGGTACTCTTGCTCGGGCTTTGCAACGAGTTCTGGGACGCCCTCGAGGACGTCCTCGAGAAATGGCGGGACGTGAGAGGGACCGAACGATGAGCGGGCGATGTCAAGAAGTCCGATCCCGGTGAGGTAGACAACGACGGACCCTCCGATTTTGAACATTCTGACACCTGCCAACAGAAAATATATCGTTCCTCCGTTTAACATTCGAGTTACTTTATATTACAATCGTTGACCCTCGCGATATCAACCTCTCTTCCCCTCCCTCCTTCTCTCTCTCTCTTTTTCTCTTTTTTTTTTATGTAGATTGAATGAAAATGAACAGCGATTTATAAAAATTTATCAACTCGTGAATTCTATGATATATATATTTTCTCCTCGTTTCTTTCCGAACAGTCATTATTTACAAAAGGAATTACATATATTTTATTTACACTATCTACAATTTGCGGATATTTGTAGGTATATTTTTGGTATTGCGAGGATGGAACGATCAATAATCGTGATGATTAATTAAGTCGCTCAAATAGCGATAGAATTGTTTCTTTTTTTTTTTTTT